TACTAGGGGCTCCTGGCCTGACTACTAGGAACAAGAACGCTACTAGGAGCTTCTTTTACCTTTGGACCTAAGAATGAATTCTTTTACTTTTCTCCAAAGTCGAGTCGATCGAGTGGATAGATTCTGGATAGATTGCAGGTCCTACGCTGAGCCTGAGTTTCGGGCCATTGGACACCATGTATTTACTGGCGGCAAAATCTGAGACCTTCGAAGCTGAGTTTGAGAGTCGTCGAGATCTCCGTTTCAAAGAAATCACAGAGATTCTTCATTCAAAAAGCGGACCTCAACGGACCGCTGTCCATACTCGTTGTCCCAGCCGTAGCTTGGGAAGTCTCTGGGCCTTGAAATTGGCTCTTGGATTTCGTGTATCTATTAGCTTCTTGTTTGGCCAGGAGCCCCTAGTAGCTATGAAAACAATATAGCCATAAAAAATGCGTTGAAAACGGCAAAGAAATCCTTCTGTGTGTGGGCCATCGCTAGTAGGTTGGAGGCCATCGCCATTGGGATGGAGGCCATCGCTATTAGCAATCTTTTCCACGCACTTCTGAGACTGAAACTTTCCAAGTTTCACAGTCTGGCCCTTCACCTTTAGCATTTCATTTCGAGGCAGCTCCTGGCGAAATCTAGCATCACGGTGCATCATTGCCGGTTGCACCCGCGACTCGTACGCTGAGAGGGCGTGGCCGTGACATTTTTCAGACCGCTTCACCATTTGTCGAGTCGATGTCGAGTATACCTGTAGGCATACACAGAAAATGATAGGGGCAGATTCTTACAGTCCAACGGAAGTGCTTATAGACTAGAACAGACAGGCCGAGCTTGCTGTTCATGTCGAATCTGGCCCCTTCACAAGTTGTGTGAGATTGGATCTACATGGCGTTGCGGCAGGGCAAATGCAGTTCAAGTTGGGTCTGACTTGAACTTGCCTGCCCTCCAGACACAGAAAGCTTCTGTAATGCATTCATAAAAGCCTAGGCTTTGAAGATTTACGGGTCGATCTGCCGCAACCCAATTTAGCTTGGAAGCTCCAACCAGCAATTGTTCGGAAGTGAGAAATCCTGAGCATCAAATGTTGAAAATCTGCTCCAAGCCGTCAAAAGATGGCAGCATGGGGTCGGATTTCCGAGCTCATGCGCCGGAAAAAACCTCTCAGGTTGTGTTGTAGGGTGCTCTTAGCCCAGGCGAGTCTTTCGAGAATGAACGAGAGGCAAGTCTGAGGTGATGATAGTTGGCTTTCTTGAAGACCTTCGCTGCAGAATTTATACCCAAACGAAACCACGAAAATTTATAATGCAAATGTCAAAAACAATTGGGCAAGGCACATCACTCACCATTTTTTGTTGTGAGGATTGCTCTGACCGTAGCAGTGCAAGCACCTCCTCGAACAGCATTTCAACCTCAAACAGTCAAGCGATGTCTGCTTAAGCATCTTAAGCATCCTTGCTTACTCTGCTTGCTTTCAGCGAATTCACGTTCACCATGCGTCTTTCTTTGTGTTCAGACTTTTGATGTTCTTGCCTTTAAAAAAGATAAACACCCTTAAGAAGACCCTTTTGCTTTTCTCTTGTTTTTCTTTTACTTTTCAGTCCCTTACTTCCAAGACGCTTTCGTCTCAATGCGCCAAACATCCAAAGCTTTGGCTCCACCACGAAGACGTGTGGCCCCTTCCAAAAACTCCATGAGACTCAGCGGAGCAACGCGTAAGGCGGGTAGGGACTAAAGAGGGACTCGTTTGTGAAAGAACAATCGAATTACCTCGAATTACAAACAAAATCACAAAGATTCTAAGCTGTTAAGAACCTTGTCTTTGGTGCAGCTCACTCGCTCAACACCCACCATGCACAGCATCCGCAGGACAATGATTTGACATGTTTTTGCAACATTTTCCAAGGCACGTGATCTCACCGTCTCCATTATCAAGAAATTCGAATAAACCCATTAAATCGTGATACTCCAACTCCTGGGCTGAAAAGAAAAGAATATTACATTGGAAAACCTTGGACAGCAACAAATCCCCAACAGCTGGGCATAAATTTGCTGATTAAGAAATGATAAGACATGTGGCAGTTGTCAAAAAACGTGCGACGTCTGCAAGTTTATTACTAAGTGGTGTGTGTGTGTGTTTGCGGCAATACATCAGTGTAGCACATGTGCCCGCATATGTGCAAGCATGACAACACCGCAACAAGCAAAACCAGAGAACCTCGGAACCGGCTTTGCAGCCCCTAGTAGCGTCCATGCTTTTAGTAGCGATGCCCTTTGCTCCTAGTAGCGTCCTTTCTCCTAGTAGTAAGGCCAGGAGCCCCTAGTAGCGTCCATGCTCCTAGTGAAAGGTTGCGCCAGTATGACAACCTATCAGCATGACAATTTGTCAGTGTGACCCCACGCCAGCAGTTGGAGGCCATCCCTAGTATGTTGAAGGCCATCGCTATGAACCGTCTCAACGTGTCTACACCGCTGCGTGACAGCATTGTAGCTAAACAACAAACCAACAGTACGCCACGTCAGATTATCGGCGTGGCAACACCTTAGTGTGTCAAAAATATAACACGTTAGCAGGCAAGCACAAGCCGCATGGTAGCCTGATGGCATGTCAACATGTCCGTGACAGGCCAGCATCACGACATGTCAGCATTGTGCCGTGACAAATTTGGTTTGCTGGCATCGCTACTGAACTAACAACAAGAAGCTACTAGGGGCCCCTGGCCTTACTACTAGGAGCAAGGACGCTACTAGGAACAAAGGGCATTAGGAGCAAGGACGCTACTAGAAGCAAAGGGCACTAGGAGCAAGAATGCTACTAGGAGCAAAGGGCACTAGGAGCAAGATGCTACAAGGAGCAAAGGGCACTAGGAGCAAGGACGCTACTAGGAGCAAAAGGCACTAGGAGCAAGGACGCTACTAGGAGCAAAGGGCACTAGGAGCAAGGACGCTACTAGGAGCAAAGGGCACTAGGAGCAAGGACGCTACTAGGAGCAAAGGGCACTAGGAGCATGGACGCTACTAGGAGCAAAGGGCACTAGGAGCATGGACGCTACTAGGAGCAAACGGCACTAGGAGCATGGACGCTACTAGGAGCAAAGGGCACTAGGAGCATGGACGCTACTACTAGGAGCAAAGGGCACTAGGAGCAAGGACGCTACTAGGGCCAAAGGGCACTAGGAGCAAGGACACTACTAGGAGCAAAGGGCACTAGGAGCGTGGACGCTACTAGGAGCAAAGGGCACTAGGAGCATGGGCGCTACTAGGAGCAAAGGGCGCTAGGAGCAAGGACGCTACTAGGAGCAAAGGGCACTAGGAGCATGGACGCTACTAGGAGCAAAGGGCACTAGGAGCGTGACTAGGAGCAAGGACGCTACTAGGAGCAAAGGGCACTAGGCGCAAGGACGCTACTAGGAGCAAAGGGCACTAGGAGCATGGACGCTACGAGGAACAAAGGGCACTAGGAGCGTGGACGCTACTAGGAGCAAAGGGCACTAGGAGCAAGGACGCTACTAGGAGCAAAGGGCACTAGGAGCAAGGACGCTACTAGGAGCAAAGGGCACTAGGAGCAAGGACGCTACGAGGAACAAAGGGCACTAGGAGCATGGACGCTACTTGGAGCAAAGGGCACTAGGAGCATGGACGCTACTAGGGGCTCCTGGCATCGCTACTAGGCCTACCGTAGAGCCCTGGACAATTCGATGTTCCAGACCCGTTCCACTTGACACAGGCGTAAGGCCGGCACCAATTGTCCGAGCCAAAAGTTCAGCATTGGATCCTTCACCAGCTTCGAAAATTCATCCTCCAAGTTCAGAGGTTGACAAAATCGTCAGCAGAAGCATCATAAACTGGTTCCCCAAACAGTCTGGATGAGCTCCGCATCCGTTCCAATGGATTTCTTTGGTTCTTTCTTAGGCCAGTAGGTTGGAGGCCATCGCTCTTAGAAACAAAGAAAAAGGAAGAAAGGCCCCTGTCCTTGTTGATCAATCCGTCTCCAGACTCATCTACCGTTCTGAAGAGTTTCTTGACCTTTCGAGTGAATAGTTCCAGATCCTGATCCACGCTTGGAAGAAGAAACACTCCTCACGAATCGACAAAAAACTAGAACCTTCATTTGCTGTACAACCAAGGCGGCCCAGGTGCTCTTTCTTTCTGTTTGAAGGCGAGTTCTTCATCAGAGCTTGCAGTTTTCATGGTCTGCTGCACAAAAACCTGCGCCAAGCCAGATTTGCAGTCTGCATCAGATTGAAGTTGGCCAAAGGTGAGTGGCGCTGAAGAGTTTGCCAAGATGCCGCGTTCACCACATTCAGAACAGCAAAACCCAACAAGCACCTGGAGAGGCACCAGAGCAACGCAAAGCATGAGACATGATGAAAAAGCAAAAACAAATGCCAATATTGGGGCATACATATATCCAAAAAGGGATGGCCTCGAACCTTATAGCAATGGCCTCCAACCTACTAGCAATGGCCTCCACCACGCATATCATATACGTATACTTATCTTCTATATACGATATGTTCTTGGAGTCGTGTTGAACATGTCCACGCCGCCGGGCCTGTAGATCAAGAAAAACACTGCGAAGGATTCGCTGACTTCATCCACCAAGATTCGGCAAGGCGGGCTCCAATTGGCGAAAAGGATCTCAAACCTGGCTGCAGCGCGCAAAATTCAGGTTGAAGACGGCTTCTCAGCAGCCGCCCTCACCGCAGCACCAAAGCGCTGCTTTTAGCTCCAATCATAGCGCTCGCGCAGCAGCAGCAGCAGCAGCAGCAGCAGGAGAGAGAGAGAGAGAGAGATGTAAAATTCATCAGCTGTTTGTTTCACGTTTGACCACGTCAGTGTTTTCCTCTGGCAATTGTCCTTAGGCTCAAGGCCTTTGATCCAAGGTGCATTGTGAAGCACCAAGCCATTGTACATGAACACTACGACGGAGTAAACATGCAATTGTACAAAAGATTGTCTCTTGACACCGTCCCTTGGTTTGGTTCATTGTTGAACCACACCATCTCTATAAACATTGTTGAAGCTGGAAAGAAACATTATTGTACATAAAGCAGTTCAAACATTGTTGGCAAGTCTGTACAGCTCTTCTCTGCATCATCGTCTCTCCGGCATTGTTGCCTTCTCTCGTCGTGGTGCTCGTAGCGCGCCTAGGCATTGTCTTTGCCAGAGATCTGCAAATTGTTGGACTATTGTTCTAGCCCTGCGTGTCCTCCATGTTGTCATCTTGAGATTGTCGGGGACGCTTTGCCCCTTTCTCTTCTTCTCCTTCTGACATCTCCACCTCGATTGTACGCGCTCGCCCTTTGATGTACTTGCTACGGTCAGGATGACCGCGCTGTTGTCTCTTGGGAATTGTCACACGGTAGGTGTCAATCCCCTTCTCAGCCTTGTATTGTCCCAAGGCCCATCGTACACCTTCCGAAATTGTGACTGGCCTATTGTCCCAAGTGCGTCAGAGCCATTCCCAAGATTGTATGGTGAGGTGAATCTTCTGAGATTGCCAGCGTTGTCTTCACATGCATTGCATGGCCATAGTTCTAAATCCATCCATTGGACCAATTGTATCGGTCAAATTCGTTGGCTGCGTTGTAGTTCAAATGCAGTGCTCGCACATTGTTCTTCTCAGCCTCAGTGAACCTGCAATTGCGCGGCGCGTGCACTTGCGCGCTGTGGCCACGTTGGAAGGAAGATAGTTTCTTCCCTGCCATGTGATGCGCCATACTGTGGAGATCAAAGCTGATAGCCAGGACTATTGTTTGATCATTTGTCATTGTGTGCCCCATTGACTCTTCAGTGGTGGGCAACATGATGAATTGTTCCCAATTGCCTGGCTTCCTCAGGCTCCCGGGCAACTTGTCGGTCTCATTGTCCTCGTTCAGCATCATTGTATACTCCACCTTTGTCACTGCCGCGAACCAGTATGTGGAGATATTGTCCAAGACGTCACACCACGGACTGTCCTTGTAGTTGGGCGGCAAGATGACTTGGCTCTCTACATTGTCCTCATTGTACAGGACTGCTCGATCCTCCCACAAAGAAATTGTTGAATTCGCGGGAAGTCGGCGCTGATTGTGGTAGTCCGGAATTGGCATCTCCACGGCCATTCTTGTTGAGATTTTCCTCCAAATAGTAGATCCCGGTTGTCAGCGCTTGTGAGCAGGGAAGCGGCTGCGGTCGAAAGAATTGTTGACAAATTGTCAACTGAACATGCATTGTCTTTCTAATTCAAAAGGCAAAACTTCAAACACAATTGTTCATCGCATTGTTCTCCGAAAAGACGGAAAGAAAAGTCGGATCCATTGTGAAACTGAAACCTTGTAGCGCATATTGTTTATGACCTAGTATGCACATAGTAGCTAGAATAGTGCGCCATGGCTTGATGCCCCCCGCGTGTGTATTGTACACGCATGGACGCTGCCATGGTTGTGAAGCTGTTCTGAACGGCCGTTGTTCAGTTACAGTTGTGGTGTTGCGGGCATTGAATGCCCGCCATGTAGAGGTGTTTGTTAAGCACCTCTGCCGGGACATACTTTGTCAGTATGTCTGCTGGGTTGTCACGCGCGCTGATCTTGCGTATTGATAGGATCCCGCTTTGTACCAGTTGTTGTATGAAGAGGTACTTGAGGTCAATGTGTTTTGCTTTCTTTGATGAGCTAATTCTTGTCGCTATGCTCTTTCCGCCTGCGCTGTCGGTATGTATGCGAATGTTCACCTTTGTTGTTGTTGCTTCCTTGATGAAGTTTGCAATATGTAGTCCTTCTTGCGCTCGTACCAATTGCATAAAGCTCTGATTCTGCTGATGATAGTGCTACTACTGCTTGTGTTCTGCTTCCAACTTGTACCACGGACCCCATCATTGTCACGATGAATCCACTTGTTGATTTCTTTGCGCTTGGGCATCCTGCCCAGTCCGCATCGACATAAATGTTGAGGTCGACGTGTTCCTTTGTTTGTGGTGTGTGCATTGTCCTCAAGATCATTTTGTAGTGTTGTGTTCCCCTGAGGTATCGTAAAAGACGCTTCACCTTGCGTAGGCTATGCTGCGTTGGTTGTTGTAAGTCTCGCGCCAGTTCTTTTGTTGCCCCGCTGATGTCTGGTCTTGTGTAGGTCAGCCATTGTAGCTTTCCTACTGCTCTCCTCTAGTCTGCATGTTCTTGCCCGTCCAAAGGTGCATCATCGTTTGTGGATTGTTTCAGGGTTGCCGTCCCTGGAGCTGATGCTGGATTGCTTGTTTCCATTTTTGTTTCCTTCAACAATGTTGTGATGTATTCTGGCTTGAGGCTCACTTCAAAGTAATCTCCATTGTTGTGGATGTCTCTGCCTAAGAACTGGATTGTTTGACCAATTCCCAGTGTGCCAGTTGGTCGTGGTAGTACATGCTTTTGTACTTGTTTGAAAGTCTTGTCGACTTCTTGTTGTTGTCCCAAGAATAGTAGGTCATCTACATAGACCATCGCAAACATTTTCTGTTCATTGTTTCTGTACACGTTGGGTTCACTTGTCAGTCGAGACAGTCCCATTTGTTGTAGGACTTGCGCAAAGTGATCCTGCCAAGATTTAGGACTTGATCGTAGTCCATAGATTGCTTTGTTGAGCTTCCACACTGTGGTTGTGTTGTGACCACTTGGGTATAGTTCTGGCGGTGGTCACATGTAGAGATTGTCTGTTGCAGGAATGCTGTTGACACATCTCCTGCTTGTGTTGCCCAGTGGTTGCGCTGCGCCATTGTCAGTAGGATACGTAAGATCCCAAAGATTGGCGCGCTTGCATAGATGTTGTCAAGGTCTTGGATTGTTTCCAGCAGCATCGCACTTCATCTTGTTTGGGTTTGTTAACCCACTTGGATTCTATGATCTTATTCTTGTGTTCTTCAGGGATGTCATTGTAGTTCATCTCTGTGAACACTCCCTGCGCCTTCATCGATTGCGCTTCTTTCTTCATTCCTTGTTCTACTTTCAGTGGATCGATACCTTCATTGTCGTAGGCAAAAGGTTCTTGTAGCATCCTTTCCACGTCTGCTTCTTGTTCATCTTCACAGGATGCTGTGGTGATCTTGTCACCTTTCTTTGTGGCGATTGTCACAGCTTGTATTCTCACGTTTGCTTTTGGTTGTTCTTCATCTTGTCCTCGGCTTGCTGCCGTTGAGGACTGCGCTGTCTTCGATTGTTTGGATTGCGCTTCACCTGTAGGCTCCTCATAGTGTCTCTTGCTTGTTGGAGGCATTGGCAGTGGTGGTCTTGTCACTGATGCTGGTGATGTTGCCATTGTTGCATCCATTGGTCGATGATGTGTTGCTCCTGCTGGTAGTGCCAATGGTGTATCTTGTGGTGTCTGTGTACTTGTCTTCTACTGTAATGTCGGCTTGTGTGCCAATTGCTTGTCTGCTAGCGTTGTTGTCAGCTGGAAGAAACAATTTTAGTGGAATTGCCATTGGTGAGGTTGGCAAGTTCCATGGATACACATTGATCGTATCCAGTAGTTGCTTGTCGTACTTGTCTGGCATGATCTGTCTTCGTATTGTTCTTGCTCTGATGACCTTGCCAGGGATGCCAACTATTGACTCTCCGGTCGTTGTATCTCTGCCAAGCCAGATTCCTTTGAAGAATCTTGGTTCCATCTTGGGCTGTGCTTTTTGTTGTTGGGATCATGCGTTGTACTGTTTCTGCCATCTCGCATAGCGGGGCTTTGTGATCCTTTTGCCATCGTCTTTGGTAACTTGTTTGTCCGTCATTGCGCATGGCATACCTGTTCAGTAGCCATGCCGCACGCCGCACAATCCACGGCATGATCGGTTGTTGTACGCTCAATAATTGTAGCTTGTGGTTACTTGTTGTACCAGTGCTCGTGCTCGGACTCAAGGTGCGATGGAATCGTTCAATGCTTCCTTGTGATTGTGATGAATACGCCGGTGATTGTCGGATGTTGACGTTTCCGAGCCTTTGTGCGACGGCCTTCAATAGGTTCTGTATGTACTCTTCCTGATCTGATTGCAGTGTTGTGGTTGATAGTGTTGCTTGCGCTCGTCCACACTCGAACATGAATGTTTGTAGGCATCGTATCAGGTATTGTTGTTGTTGGTTCTTGTCTTGTACAAGAACTGCCATTGCCATACCTGATTCGACATCTATTGCCGTCAGTACTGGTAGTACTTGTTTGTCTCCACATGCTTTCACGTATGTGAAGTCCACTTGTATCACTGGTTGTTTGCTTGCTTGTCTTGGACGATTGTCTGCTCTTCCTTTGCTGTTGACACATCTTGGGCACCATGAACGGTACGGCAAATGCGTCAGCAGAGTTCAAGCCTTTCTTGTCTTGTTGGTTGTTGTGGCGCCTTCATTCCTTTGGCGCGTTGCGCTTGTTGAGGTTCATCTTCATTGTCCGTGTCGTACTCGTATTTGTATTGTACCTCTTCCTCGAAGTTTGTTGATCCAGTCCATTGTCTGTCGAGCGGTCTTGCTCCTGATTCGTGCCAGTTGTCACTGATTGTATATCCTCTTCCTTGTTCCGTTCTGTTCGCGAATGTTGTCCTTGTCGCTTTGAGTCGTGAAATGTCTGGACCATCGTCTGTTTGTTGCGGTACGTACATTGTCGTCCGTACTTGTACGTGAACACGTTTCCAATAGTGTCCTTCTCTGATCCAAAAGTCTGTTGTTGGCGTCATTGTGGATGGATCAGGTATTGCCGTAGTTGTTGGAGCTGGCTTCTTTGTTGTGTGTGTCGGAATAGTGGATCTCTGCTGACCTGCTGCGTTGTCCCGTCTTGTTCCGGAAGCTGTAGTGATGTTGGCTGTTGTCGCACTTGAGGTGCCTGTCGTGCTTTCTCTGTCTTCGAAGTTGTAGTCGCCGGTTGCGCTGGCGGCTTGTTCACTCTGAACCATGTTTCTCCTGTCCATGTATCTCCTTGTATCACGCGTCGTTGTTCATGCTTGCTCAAGTCATGGTATTGTTCTACAAGAGCCTCGCTGTTTCCGTCTGTTTGTCGGACGATTGTTCGTCTGTAGTTGCTCAATGTCTCCAATGGTATTGGGCACTTGTCGCCAGGAACGAAGAGAGCCTTCCTCTTGTTCCGGTGATACCGTACAAGGTATCCTCCATTGTTATAGTTCCAATAGTCGCTGTTGCCTCCAAGGACTTGTTGTGGTCCATGTCTTGTCAGTGTTGTTGGGGCAGTCATTGCAATCATGCCCTTTGTGTATGTCTCAGCTGTAGCTGTTGATGTTGTCCCAGGTCCATGATTGTCGCTGGCAAGTAGTAGAGGTTGCGCTGTTGCATCAAGGGAACATTGAATCCCTTGTCATGGCGCATTGTGGGGGTGTCGTTGAACCTGCTGTCAAAGCCTTGTTCTGCCAGTCTTGTCACTGACAGAATTGGGTCATGACTGTCACACACATGGAAGGGTATGACACTGGGTTGTCCTCGAGATTGCATGTAGACCCATCTCACGCTATAGCATTGTATTGTCTTGTTTGTCACTGTCCTGAGGTTTGGGCTTTGCGCTTGGTCGATCTTGTACACGGGATAGTTGTCTGCGAACCATAGTGGGCAGACATGTGTGGCTGCTCCACTGTCGATCACGCTGTGTAAAGTGTCTGTTGTACCGCTGTTTGTTGTAGCTGACTTGTGGTCATTGCCATTGCTGATCATGGCGATGACATGGATTGGTGTCATATCGTGGTTGCTTGTGGATGGAATTGGCGGAAGTGCCAATGGCTGTTGTGCCTGTTGTTGTCTTGAGTAGTCCTGAAAGTACCATCCATTGTCATAGTAACTATCATAGTAGTCGTCGTACCATTGTGTTGTCGCGTCCTCAAGGTCATTGCCTTCTCCTTGTCCAATGTTGTGTATTGCCACTCGGCAGTCTTTGGCATAGTGTCCTGTTCGTCCACATCTGTAGCATGTGTCTGTCGCGTGTTTTCCTTTGTTCTTTCCTTTGCCTGTGTTGTATCCTTTGTTGAATCCTTTGTTTCCTTTGTTGCCTCTTCCGAATGGGTTGCCGAATCCAATCGGGATGTTGTTGTAGTTGTTGAATCCTTTTCCTCCATACTTTCCTGTCCCTCTGTAGTTGTTGTTGTAATTGTTGTAACCGTAGCCGTTGTATCCTCCGTAGCCCTTGCCTTTGTTCTTTCCCTTTCCTTTACCCTTTCCTTTGTTCTTGTATTTGCCTTATACTTTGTGGATTGCATCAATGTCCATAGGTGCTTGTCCACCAGCGAAGTTTGTTGCCACGCTGGATGATTGTGTTCGTAGTTGCTGTAGTTTGCTAAATGCTGTTGTTGATCGATAGTACTCGATGATTGTTTGCTTGACTCGTGCATCGTTTGGGCTTTGTCCTGAAAGCAGTTGCAAGTGTTGTTGTAGTGGTCCACTTGTTTCATTGAGCAGTACTGCTATCTTCACAGAATCTGGTAGTGCTTGTCCATTGTCTCGTTCAAATCGTTGTAGATCAAATTGTTGAGAATGATTCTTCAAAGTTGTTCTTGTCGAATGTGGCTTCAATAGTCTTGTGAGGTGTCCAATGGATCTTGTGCCCAATGGAATGGAGAAGCGGATGCACAATTGTCGGTACATCTCGAAGCCAATTGTATGTTGATATTGTCTGCATACGGTTGCTGCTGCTCCTGCTGTTGTATTGATGGGGATGTACCTCAAATCTGTGCTGAGAGGAACATGTCGTTCACCATCTTCACTTGTTGATTCTGCTCGTAACTGTATCTCTGTGAGTTCTGCTGTGGCTAGTTCTGCTGCTAGTAGCAATTCTGTGTAGTCGTTGTCTTGCAATCCCATGTATGCTGTGAACTTGCACTTCCATTCTTCGAACGTGCCATAGTCTCCTTTGAAGAAGGGTGGTTTGAGTTTGTATCGGTTCATGTTTGCCATGTTTGTTATTGTCTCATCTTCTGGGACTGGAGGCAGGTGTTCTCCTCCAGCTGGAGCTGCTGTCATGGCTGCCATTGTTGCAGCTGTTCAAGCTACCTGTTGTAGGGTCAAGGCTTGTTCTCTGTTGTCTGTGTTTGTGTATGCTTGTCCTTGTTGTTGTATTGGAGCTCACCTGGATTGTTGTTACCAGGATCCTTGCTCCGCTACCATGTAAAATTCAGCAGCTGTTTGTTTCACGTTTGTGCACTTCAGTTGTATTGTTTTCCTCTGGCAATTGTCCTTAGGCTCAAGGCCTTTGATCCAAGGTGCATTGTGACCAAGCCATTGCACATGAACACTACGATGGAGTAAACATGCAATTGTACAAAAGATTGTCTCTTGACAAGAGAGAGAGAGAGAGAGCGCTACTAGAAGCTACTCGAGAAAAACCAAATAAAAGGTTGAAGGTGATGACCGCTTATCAGCAGCGAGCCCCACGGCGGGGAGAACGGCACTTGCGAGGAGACAATTTGTTTGTTGTTGGCTCTGCTCTTGTTTTGGACCCCGGCCAGGAAAGAACAAGAGCTGTCAACTGTAAAGAAATATTCAAACCCTCAAGGCACCTCATGGCTTCGAGGATTCCAAAAAGACCCTCCCCAAAACTATAAACAATTATACAAAAAAGATCAAACCCCAACAGCCCAAGCCCACAAGCCCACATTGAGGTGGTGGCGGTGGCAGGCCAGTGGGGTCTCAAAGTTTGTCCATGTCCGTCTCTCGACTGCACGGTCAGGCTCGCTCTTCTTTGGCTTGTTTTCTGTGGAGGATCACGTCTGTAGAGAAAGCGGGTTTGATTCAGTCCTACGGTCCTACGGTACCACACACGGTGAAATTACGGACAAGTTTCATGAGGGTGGAGGCTATTGGGGTGGAGGCCATGGCTATTAGGTTTTATGAAGAACAGCAGCACGTCATGTCTTTGGCAACATCCCGGTGTCTCTGACGGGAAAGTGAACCCTTGGAGTGCCTGCTTTGTGCACCGAAACTGCAGATTTGGGCAACCCACTAGTAGCGTGCTTGCTCCTAGTAGCGATGCCAGGAGCCCCTAGTAGCGTCCTTGCCCCTGGCAAAGGCGAATTCGTGAATTTGGAGTGGCGTAGTGCACAACCCTTTCCGAAACAACAACTCACAAGAACTAGTACTAGTTGTAGTAGCCAACCTCAGGGGCAGAGGAGCACTAATGGCAATAATTTGGCAATAATGATAGTGATTGATAGTGAATAGTAGTGGTAGTACTGTTTGTACTAGTCATAGCACGACCGAAAAACCCTTGCAAGATAGCTCGGCTTTCTCCACTACGGATGCTTGCACACCAAGAGTTCAGAAGAAGACAAGTCATAGAAGAAAAGTTGGCAGTCGAGACAGTAGATGACAAAAGTATTCAAATCTGCAAGCAACGAACGACCTTGAGCCCCCGCCACACCAAGCTCTTGCCTTGCCTATCTTGGAAGGAGCAGGGTGGGGTTCTGCGGAGAAGTTTATCTACAGTACTGTCACGGGAAATGCGAGAAAGATAGTTCTTCCGAAACCTTAACATCATGATGTACCAGCTACAAGAAACTTGTAGATCTAGCATTAGTACCAGTCAGTCGTAGTAGCAGTAGCAGTAGGAGAAGCAGTAGGAATAGCAGTTGCACTTTCAGTAGCAGCAGTAGCAGTAACAATAGTAGTGACCTAGTAGCGGTAGCTCAACACGACCTTATGCCCCATGCTAGGGACAAAGATTGGAACCGCCACCCCAAAGAATGAAAAACTGTGCGTGTTGGAATTGCAATCGACACGAGATGGAAGAGCACAGCATGACACAGTTCGGAGCCAAGTAAGGCAAAGTACGCTGGGCAACTGTGCTATCCTGTGTAGAGCCAAAATTGCGAAGTGCCATCTGTATACAACAGCTTTGTATGGTCCTGTTAGTGTTTTCTCCGGCGTATGTCTGTGTCTGTGCCGTCTGTCTTTGCTGTGCATCTTCGTTGTAGCTTCTTGCTTATAGTAGTACGGCCAGGAGCCCCTAATAGCATCCTTGCTCCTAGTAGCGATGCCCTTGCTACTAATAGCTTCTTGTTACTACTAGTAAGGCACTTGTTACTAGAAGCGTGCCGGGGTTCCTCAAGAATCCAGGCAAATTGTAGAAATGCTACATCAAACAGTGTGTGCACATGTGACACTGAGAACACAAGAAGTAGTCGAACATACAAATTTGTTACAATCATGTTTACAATCCTGAATCAATCAGTAAAAAGTTTGTCCAAGATGCATTGACAAGAAAGTGCGGGTGAAGGTCCCATAGTAGAGCCAAACAGATCGTCCTTGGAGGCTGTCAAGAACCTTTTCAAGAACAGCAAGTTTCACTAGATTTTCCCACAAAAAATGTATCTACTTCTCCGCAATGGCATGGTTGCAGGCACATGCATATATACTTGTTTTCTATACTTTGGGTGTTGCCTAATGGCTGTAACAGTGAGCACAAACCAGAGCACCATTTTTGCACGGTGAAAAACGTCAAAAAACACTCCCACCCAACCAAAGTATTCGATTCTTTTTAGCCCTGGCTAAGCAAAGCTGTCCATAAAGTCACGGCCTGCCAGGAGTCAGGTTGGTCAAGAATTACCCTACACTTGTCCCAAGGTGCAAGAGTTCTGGCACAACTGTTACAAAAAACAAAAGCACACGAAACCTTTTTCTGCCAACAATTGGTGCTGCGTGTTTCGGCTTTCCAAGGCGAGGGCTTCAAAGAGTGGTTGAACACAGAAGATTACTTTGTTGAACTCATGATGAAAGAACATACATGCTGTCTTTTGTTCTTGGTTGTTCTTACAGTCTTACTTACATGTTACAACCTTGCGTTCCCTCGCTTGGGTTAGATCCCTAGACCTTTTTGGTCTGTCAAATCTGAGCCAGCCAAAATCTGACCAGCCACTTCCAAACAAAACATTGGTTGACTAGAGGTTGTGTTGGGACTGGCTGGAAGCAAAAAGAACTAAAAAAGAATAGCATCAGCATCAACATTCCAAGAAGAACCCAAAACTGTCATCATCAACACTTCTTTCACAACATTGAGGAATTTAGCTGAAAGACAAGTAGTCACACGGGCCGGTAGAGCTGGACTTAGCAGATCTGACACTTGTCAATTGGAAAATTGCAAAGACGCATTTCCCACGGACAAAAATGCTTTGAGAGAAGCAGGGAGCACACGTGGCAGGCTGCAGCCAAGTGAAGATCCCCTGCCCAACAACAACACAGGTTCGTTTACTTTGACCTATTTTTCCAAGAAGGGCTGCAGCCTGGCACAGCACCACCTCAGTCCACTGTGCTCATGCAGTGGCTGCCTCCTCCTGGAGCCACTGCATCAGCGCTTTTGAAACTGTGACGCCGTTGCGCTCAAGCGTCTTGCGATACCTCAGAAAACAAAAGAACACGAATGCGTTCACATGGACCATGCAAAAGAACCACAGAGCAACTTGCAATCCCCATCGCGAAACGTTGACTCTGCTTGCGCGCGTGCGCCGAAAACATAGTTGCCAGAGAATTGCTGGCTGGGTCCCTTTGATGCCAAGATGCTCGCGGCACAATGCCGAGCGCTCCACTCGGTTCCTGTTGGCAAAGCGGTGGAACAGGAGGTTGAGGCCGTGCACACTTGACGCGTACACCTTCACTTTCTGCAGCTTGGTGCTCAAGGCCTTGACCTGGCCACACTGACTCTGGGTCAGCCAATTGTCAATTGGCAAGCTATCCAGAGCAGCACACGCGCCCTGGAAGTCCTCCAGGGATCCCACACAAGCCTCGTGCGTAGACTTCTCAAACACCAGCTTGCGCAGGCGCTGCTGGTTTCGCCCGACCACCAGCGCCTCCACGTCAGGCTGGCTGTTCACAGCCTCTGTCACCAGGGCCTGGAGCTTGCCGATCACGCGACCGAACAGCAGACTCAGGACGTGCTTGCAAAGCCATGGCCTGGCGCCACCGTCCAGCATGCTCTGGTCAGCCTTGACCAGCATCTCCTGCAAAGTCTGAACGCACTGTCGGATCTGCAGGGCGCTAGGGTCCTCGCCAAGGCTGGCCAGGGTCTCAGCACAGGTGCAGCCGTAGTACCGAAGAAGGTCGTTGCCAAAGTCAATCTTGGCAGAATTGGTGATGTCCTTGAAGTTTTCTCCACCAAGGTGCGCCAATGTCTCAGACATTGTGATCAAGGAGTCCATGAAGCTTGGCACTCGTTCCAAAAGCTACAGCACCTTGTCCACCATTCAGGCTTCACGTCTGCAATTGCAGGCAAAAAGTCGGTGTGCTGGGCACGCTCCTGGAAGAAAGCCTGCTTGCAAAGCAATTGGCCCTCCAACCTCTGCTTCATGCTTTCCAAAATTGAGGGGATGCAATCTGTGACCACTTCGGTGGCCTTCTGAACGAAGGCTTGGCACTCCAGCCCCAAATCCGACCACTTGGATGTCACTTGAGAATTGAAGTCTTGCCACGCATGGCAAAACCTGTCAAGAGCTTGAGAGATTTCAGTCATGGCTTCAGTGCCTGCTTCGCGAGTGAACTCCGGCAGATTGTTTTGCCACACGCCGAAGCTTCGGCCTGGGCCATCAGTGATGGCCCATACGCCCAGGAATGCTGTTGCCAAGGCAGCCTCGGCCGGCCAAACAGACAAGAAGTGACACCGCATCAGGGCTAGCGATCAAACAACAACATGAAAGCTGCCTATTGAAAAAGTTGGTGTCAACTGTCAACAACATGGAAAGGGTGAGCACAACCTGAAACATGTCTGGCCAATAATTGCCCTAGCGTTGGAAGATTTTGTAGTTTCCATGGGCAAGGCATTCACTAGTTTGGGTGGAGTGATGACCAAAAAGGTGTGCAGGTCGTGAATGGTGAAGCGCTCAACATCCGTCCAACTCCTAACTCAGAAGTGGGCGCAAGCTAGTGGGGTGGCTTTGGGTAAGGTTGTGGCCACTGCGGCTTTCAGAAGCTTGCCTTCAGTGCCTTGGGCTTGCTATTTTTGAGGGGCATGAACAGCCATGTCTAGAAAAATACACTGACTGAAAACACCCTAGGAACAGTGCTGTTCAGGTCGGTCAGGAGCTTTGCCTTGTTGCCCTCCACATTTGGCCCACGCCGCAGCAGCTTCAAAACGCCTTCTTTCCTCAAAAAGGCAGCCATGGTGGCCATGTCCTTGACAAAGTCAGAGGTGGAGAACGTCTGCGTGTGTTCCTTGGTCACCTGGCCTTCGTTCCAGCGATTGAGGAGACTGGTGAGGTCACATGCCTTTGTAAGGCTGTCGATCTTGTCCTCAAGCAAGGTTGCCAAAGCTTGGAGGTCGCCTACCAAGGAGCCCAACTCCAAATCCTCTGTACGTAGGGGCATGTCTGCAACCTGCTCTATGCACTGACAGAACTCTGCGGTGGAGGCAACTGTCTTCACATGCATCAGGACGTCTTCAATCTTAGCAGCTTTCTCACAGCGATCTTGGAGGAAACTGTTGGCGCGGCGAATTGATTCCAACAACTTCTCACCATTTGGCTGGCCATCTCCATCAGCTTCGGCGAAAAGCACTCGAACCATGGGTTCCTTCTTTGCCGCTTCCAAGCCCTGAAGCAAAGTGTCGAAGGTGCTGGCGCCTAGCTGGTCTTCCTCCGCGACCTGCCTCAACAATTGCAAATTGTCAACCGAACTGTTGGGCAAGCCGTTGACCTCCAGGAGCTGAGGCAAGAACTTCTTCCAAAGGGCCATGTGGTCATCCTCAGCCAGCAACTTGGCCAGCAGCAACTCCACCATAGGCTCAATTCTCTCTGGCTGCGGGCAACCGGCAATCCCGTCCATCGCGCCCTGCCAGTTCTTGTTCCCAATCTCCTGCCGATGGATGGAACGCAAAAACATTGCAAACATTGCAGCACTACTCAGTTACATTCAATTGGGCGCAATTGGGAATGTAAAGAGTGTGTAGACTTTGCGCTGGGGGCGCAACAATGAGCTATTTGCGGCGTTCAAAACCTTGTGCAGGAGGCCTGTTCAATGAAGCCCTGAGAATTACATCATGTCAGCATTCTGTGGGGGCAGGGATGGCCAGTCAAGCTTGAAGTTGTGGCCGCGATGCAAGAATGGCTTTGCCAAACTAAAGTGCAAGACCGTTTACCATAGATTTAGTCAATTACAAGGCATGGGCGAGGCCAGCAAGTTGCTTCCTTCCTCCATGAACGGGTGGTTTTGGCTTTACTAGATTGAAATTGAAGAGGACCCCCCCGAATCGGAGAACTGAAACAAGAGTTAACAATTGAAGCTTTCTCCAGAAGTGGCAAGCCCCCGAAAAGAAACTTTCAATCAGAACACAGGTTGGGGGAAGGCTTTCGATGGCATCACTTCGGGGTTTTCTCAAAAGATCAAAGAAGCCACTGGCGCTTTCAAAATGACAAAGAACACTTGGGCTATTCAGAGGGGCTTCCAGTGTGGTTATAGGCTCAAAATTGCTTAGTGACACATTTGCCACAAACGAAGTGGCCATACTGGCAGTTATGTGGTGAGGTCATTAGCTTGAACTGGCTCTTTCTTTGGGCGGAGAACATGCGCAGAGGCATACCTGCAGCGCTGAGTGAGACACCGGGACACCTATTTAGACTGAAATAAAAACTACAGCTAGTAACCAGACCCTCAAACGATGTACCCTGTGACCAAACCGAACGTGATTTTAAAAATGCACTGTCCTTCTGGTGGCACAGGTGGCGGTACTGACCAATCACTGCGCCAGGGAACTTGTCGAGAACCTGTTTGCTCAGCTTCTGGAGGGCCTCGACAAAGGCGTCTGCGTGTTGTTTCTTTGGATGTCCGTTGCTGGGGAGGTGCATCGCTGTTAGGCGCAAGGCCTCCTTGAAGCAGGTGAGGGCTTCGTGCAAGTCTTGCAAGCGGGCACTGGCTTGGAAGCTGCCCTGTTCCTTGGCATCTTGCATCCTGTTCTGCACGACACGCTGCAGCTTTGCGACAGCAGCTGGGGTGGGCATGACACTGCTGGAAGGGTCGCTCATCATGGTGAGCATCTCCTGATATTTGGCCTCAGATTTGTCGATCTCCTCCTGAAACATCTCTTCTCGAGAGCGTTTGACTTTTGGGCCTGACAATCGGCGCTTCTTGGATGATGGACCTGGTTCTGCCTCGTTCTCCAACCCAAGTGCTAGTGCTGAGTCGTCACCTGTCACTGCCATTGCTTGCAGGCCCATGTCCATGTTTGCCGCTTCAGATCCTTGCGCAGTAGCAGCATTGCGACCTTAGAATGTGATATAGGGCAAGAGCGGCAGGTAACAGTGCAACGGTGTAGCAAACTGCC